TCTCGGGTGATAAGCTGAGTGGGGCCTGTATTTAGAGTGGGATAGTCAACGGATTTTCTCGTCATAATCTAGTCATATTGCCCACTAGGTTTAAACGATGTCATCTAAACTCTTTTGGAGTCTTATCGGATCCATTGGTAAGTGTCAAGTGAAACCTAATGAGAATTGGGTGCAAGGTACCACACCTCTACAATGGGAAAACACCATTTCGAACTTGCTATATGGTGCAGGAAAATAATGGACAGCAAGCTTTAAGAAGGGTTTAAGTCACCCGGTGTTTAGGGAGGTTGCTAAGGCTTGGGCAGCACCTAAATCAAAGGTTTGACTCCACTTAAATCCACCAAACAGTGCAGAATTTTTGTGGTGGGGCAGCAAAACTTACAGCAGTGGTGAGAACAAGGACAGAAACTAAAAGTGGGACGTGTTATCTAAGCAATTTAGATGGACTCTACGGTGTGGGTGCGACAGCCAAGTATATCACAAGTTTAAAGGTCACCTAAATTGTCACTAAACAGTGTCAATGGATATTTATAGTGACAGCAAGTATATTCAGACGTTTAAGTGGCCTAAACAATTTAATGTAGAGGTTTATGGTGATGAATAGCAGCACTTAGACAAAGAATATGCCTTATGTAATCATGAAAGAAACACTGCAGATTTTTTCTGGACGCAAAAGGAAAACAGAAATGACAAACGATCGAATGATGTTATGCATGCAAACAACAAGGAAAGTTAAAGTGGATTCTCTAGGATTGCATCTAGCACAAAGTAAGCATGCGTAGCCATCTCTGATACCGAAAGATGATGTGAACGTACATGGCGACGGAGGAATTTACTTTAGAAATTGAAAAGGATCCATTGAACTTAATAACCCAAAATAAAATAAATCGTTTAATAAAAGAGGATCAATTAGAAATGTCCGTGGTGTAACTTTCTCGTAGGCGAATGGATGAGCAAAATCGCGGAAACAATAACAATTTAAGAAACGCAAAGTTCAAATGGTAAACTACGACGGTGAACAAAAAATCCACAATTTATAATGAAGACTTTCACCTTTTGGGAGCCCATACGCTCAACTAATGCTAGGCCTTTAGCGGAAGCTAAGAGTCCTCCACTCATTGAATTCGAGGGTCGCTCCGAGGAAGAAGAACCTGTCGTCGTTCTTGAGAGGTTGCCGGAATAGAATTTTCTTGCCAGCAATTTCTTGAAGGTGTATTCGGCGGCCGGAAAATGCAGCAGCGGCTTTGGTGGGCTTGGGAGAATTCGCCAAGGGAGAGACCATGAGTTGGGTGGTGCAAGGAGAGAGAGGCCCACTAAGAGTGGCCGGGCCCAACAAGGAGGAGAGATAGAGAGATTTTAGGAGTAATGGAGTGGGGCCAAAGTTTAAAGTAAGAAAATCAATTAAATCTGAATTTTTAATCTCAGATTTAATTGGGCTTAAGTAACACTCCCAAAGACTTACAATGAGTGGGATTTCATAATTTGCAAGTTGAAAATTGGGCTCTAATCTCATTATGGCTTGTAATGAATGTAGCCCAATTAGGAAGGTTTTTAATTCAACAGAACTTAATGGCAATTTCTCTTAATTCAAAGTGTGAAGGTGGCCAGGAAGGGGTGGCTTGGCGGGAATGCTGGCCGGCAGGGTGGCCGGCGGGATGGCTGGCACAGGATGGTGGGGTGATTCTTTTGACAGTGAAAACAGAGGGGCAGGGAGGGTTGAGGGCTCACGGTGGGCTGGCTGTAGCCAGTGAGTTTGGAGGCGTAGAGGGTGGCTGCACGGGAGATCACCATCCAAGTCGCTGGG